ATAAAGAAAAACTCTCCTGCTACCCCTCAAATGAGTCATTTCACACAGCCAGCCAACATGTTGTACGTGCAAACATAACCAGGACTGGGTGAGAAGGTGCAGGGAAGCTCTAAAAATACACTGTAGCATAAGTCAGGATTATGGAATAATTTCTACAAGTGTAGAAGGTAGATAGAGTGAATAAGGAACCACAGCCTGTCATGCAAAAGCAAAATGTGTCTATTACCACGACACTTAGCACCATCACATCCTGAGGTGAGCAGTCTCCCTTTTCCAAGAGCAGATCTGTCCATTCATCGTGGTCATGCTGAAGAAACAGACCTTTAAATAGCATCTGTAACTGCAGGCCTGTTCTGTCAAACCAAACACATAATTGTTTGCTGGAGGAAACACTCTGCATCCCTCCCATCTCTCCATAAAGCCTGATATAATCACAGGAAATGTAGGCTAAGAGCTTGCCTGGATGAACCGCAGACCTGATCTTGGAGCTATCAACCCACAATTAGATACAGGTCTCTGTAACACAACACTCACAATAAAAGGGGAATTGCTCTTTGCATTAGCGATTCTTGTGCTCAAACGGCAGTTCCGTTTCCTTCTTTTCTTTCTTTCGCGTAACCACAATCACAGCCACATAAAACTGCTTTAGCAGAATCAGATTCGCTGCACAAGTGAGAAATAGAATCGTAGTCTAAAACCTCATTCGAGCTGAAGCACTCAAAATGTGGACAGGCGGGGCTGTCTGGAGTCCCCACTCTTGTTCAACACAACCCCAATTCCAAATATGTACTGGCTCTAGACCGATATCAGCCAATATCAGTGTAAAGTGTCCTTCAAAAGTATAGCACGACACTGAAACGACACTGTACTGTTTATGCTCTTTTTGGTCATGTATAATTAAATATGCTACTTGCAGAGAGATAGCATGAAATAAAGCTACTACTACTTTTGTCTTACTGCTGTGTTTCGATCTCAAATTTAAATGTCTAGAGTTGCAAATACCTCCACTTTACTGTTACCTCAGCTTCAGAGGCTGCTGCTAACATCCGCCATTAAGCAACATGTAACTGCAGTAATTGCTCACAATTAGAGGTGCAACTAACAATTATTTTCAGTCTTGATTAAATTACTGAATATTTTCTTGATTAATCACTTAAATATTTTGTTTATTAAGAATCAGAAAATGTGACAAATGTTGATCAGCGCTTCTTAAAACCCAAGACGGCGTCCTCGAGTGTCTTGTTTTGTTCAAAACCCAAATAGTTTACTGTCACAGTAGGAGAAAGGAAAACTAAAATTATACAATTTAAGAAGTTGAAATTTTGATTTTACAGTGCCAAGTCTCAGGTAGGGTTATAATTGGTATCAGTAGGTGGCTTTCCACTACAGAAACTTGGAGCAGGCTCAAGGTAAGGTGGACGTTTGCAGGAACAGCCACAGCCATTCTCTTCTTTCTGTTTTAATTTCAATGTAATGGAAAAGGGCCTATTAGTAAAGCATGTACAATTTGTGGAACCCAAGCTACTAAACAGGCCTTGAGCAATACACTCCCTGGATTAGTCGTAAAAAGATAAGAAGTCATCGTAATCTTAACTTACTGTACAGTGTACAGTATTACAGAAAGCTTAAATGAGATGAAACATCAGACATTCGAAAATTGGGTCATGTTGCTCAGTGGATAAAGCCGTACAGTTTTAAATGTATGTCTTGCACTCACGGCTCATATCCAACATGTGTTAAAAAAAAACATCCTACTATACTGTACATGCAGGTTTCAATAAATGTCGAGCAGAACGTTAGTGGCACAGAGTATCTACATATACAACATGTCTAAAGCATTTGAAAAAACATGGTGCATTGAATCTAAACAAATTCACAACACCACTATTTGCATTATTCAAAAGACACTACATGTGCAGCAGTCACTGTGTGTTCTGCAAAACAAGAAGATTATGACCCCCAGCAAAGCATGTGTCTACATCTGAGACAAGGGTTTGTGTCTGCACACTACAGCTGTATACTCAGTACTTCTCAGCACTCTTAGGTTTCACTCAATGCCTTCTGACACCCACTGCCTTTGTTCCCATCCAGTGTACTGTAAAGAAAGAATTTCCCAGACAGTTCCACCTTTGGCTCAGGCATGTCTTTACTTGGCTGATTCGCTTCCATCTCTCCTATTATCTTATGACTAACTCGAGTCAACAACTGCAGTGTCATTGCAGGGAACAAGTCCCTCCCTCTCTTTAACCTATAGGATGGGGAAATTGAAACCAAACAGACAGGGTGTGGATCAAAAACAGAAGTGACACCACAAAAGTCAGACTCTAAATGGCTAATAATAAACGCTATTCTTCAGGTGCACTTCTGCTGACATACAGTAGCTCATACTGGAGTTTCTCATGTCTGTGAATGGAGGCTTTTCATGATGTTTGAGGCAGCTCGCTCTTACGCAAAATGAGCCTAAATTAGACTGCCGGAGGGAAAGCCACAGTACCATGACAACAGGCGAGAAAATTCCTGTGTCCTGACAATGTGTGTTTAATGTTCGTATGTACTGATCAGGTGCAAAGTGTAGGGTAAGAGAAAGAAAAGTGTATCCTCAACATTTTCACTCCAGTTGGGAAAAAAAAGTAAAAACCACGGTGGGAAAATTGTTCCAACAGCAGGGATCTGGTGGGGCTGATTCAGCAGGAGGACATCAGGGCAGATTAAAGCCAACACTGACTGTTTTGGAAGGAGCAGCGGCAGCAAGGGGAAATAATCAGAGGCACAAATCCTGTATAAAATGCTAATCTGTTAGCCTTCCCTCTTGATATGCCAAATATCTGTCTGTGGCAAAACCTTTCGAGGGACTGTGGCTGGTGATATCGCTCCGTGTATGGAAAAAGTGAGGCTTATCAGGTGCTTATCATGACAAGGGCAGACTTATGATCATGTGAAAAGCAGGTACACATTAATTGGTAATTGCTGAGTCCTTGTATTACTGGAATGAGGCCACATATGAGCTATAAATGTCTCACTCTGGAAGTGTGAATTCGTGTTACTTTGGTCCCACTTTACTCACATACATGTAGCACAGGGAATCTATATATTTATATTTCATATGTAAAATCTGATTTGTTACAAAGCCGTACTTGTGGTTCTGAACTGGTGAACCTATTGTATTAATGATAAGTGCTGTTTTTCTGGTGTCTGTCAACCTGTGATAAGAAGCCTTAAATTGGAGTATTTGTGAGAGGACTTTGGCATGACAACCTATCCCCAACAGCGAGTCGAAGCTAGGCCACTGCATAAATCCTATGTTTCTAAGGAAAATGAGTCAACAATAGTGCAACAACAACAACCTATTGTTGTTCATACATGTTACTTAACACGTAAGAGCCGCTGTTGTTTCGGGAAGTGGAGCCTTATGGACAAACAGTCGCCAACTAGGAATCCTCGGCTGGTAAAACTTAGACAATGCTCGCCCTGCTCCGTCCCAAGGTTAACGATTTATAACCGCATTTTCAGGTTTCGGGACATTCAAGTTCGGCTGACAACACATGTTTATGATTAAATCCCAACCGTGTTTCGAAGCAAACATTTCCGTAGCTTGAACCGCCCGTGTGTTGGGAAGCACAACAAAGACTCGGGGAGAAAAAACCCACAGTGACCGAGAAAACGGAGCTAACGCCGGAGCACAAAAAGACCAGAGCTCAACGTACCTCGTCCATCTCCTGCACCATCTTTGTCAGCTTTTCGTCGTCCTCCAGAATTTCGTTGAGCTGAGTCATCGTGTAAGCGCCGAACTTGTCGTTGAAACTGGACATTTTGGCTGTGGCTGTGTTTTTCCTCGCTGTGCTCCCTCAGACTGTGACAGCTGACTGAGCCTCCGAACAGGAAGCCCGGTGGAAACAGGCCCATTGCTGCCTTCACGGACCGTCGGAAACACCACAACCACCGCTAAACCGCACATCATGGAGGAACCTTGGTTTCCC